AAGCAAAGTAGCCATATGCACTTCCGGAGGAAGAGAATTCTAGAAGGGCTAGTGTCAAACTTTAAGGCAAGAGACAGGCTGGCGTATTTGAGGAGTCCAGTGCGGCTGCAGTAGTGAAGGCCATGGAGGAGAATTGGAAGAGAGGAGTTTGCAGAGCTAATGGAAGGTGTGTGTGTGAAATCACATGCGACCTTCAGGACATTTTGAGAACTTTATTCTTTAATCTGAGACAAGTGGAGAGCCATTCCATTACAAGAGCCAGAAACCTAATTCAAACTTGCTTAAGAAGGGAATTCATTGGCTCACATAGCTGAATCAGGGAAAAAGCTGCCAAAATCTCCAGATTGACATGTTCACTGTGACTTGTGAATTTCTCTCTCCCAGTAACCACATGTCAAGTCTTAGGGAAGATGCTGATTGGCCCAGTTCAGGTCACATGGCCTGTCTACTGAGGACAGGGAGATAATGGCTTGTGATTTGTCAGCCTGGATCCCATGTCTGTCACCTCTAGAGTAGGGTTGGACGGTCAGCTCCAGAAAACACATAAAAGGAGTTTTCTGCTGGGCTTCATCACCTGAAGAAGCAGGAATGGATGCTCAGCATGCAAAAACACTAAATGTCAACTACAACAGTAATGAAAGCCAGTACGAAGGGAAAGAGAGATTTGATTGCAAAGAAACATAAAAAGTAGTTTGTATGTTGGAAAATATCACAATCAAAATTATAAAACAAAGCACAAGTAGAAAATTATATGCAGGAATTACGACGAAAAGGTAATACTCTCAATATGCAAACAGTTCATAAATGTCCACAAAAAAATCAAAATCTCAATTGACACATGACCAAATAACATAACAGATTAATTTCCCAATCAGGAAATACAAATAGCTGGCAGAAATCCGTCCAACCTCATTAGTAAATGAAGAAATGATAGTTAAAACAACAATGACAAACCAGTTTCCACACTGACATCTTTTAGTGTCAATATTTGTAGGACCCTGAAGGTGAGTGAGGACTCCACAAAATGGAGATTCTCATTTTCTAATTGCTAGCAGTATGGCTTTGCAAATTTGGTGAAAATCATCAAATGTCTATGAACCCTGGTAGCCTTCTTCGGGGAATATACCCTGAGGAAGACAAAAATTTGTGACCTAAAGTGTTCATTGTGGTTTTATTTAAAATAGGGAAAGCCATCAAGTAACCCAAGTGTCATAGAATAGGGAAGTGGTAATATAAATTTGAGCCCTATGATGAAATATTTTTAAATGACTTAGAAAAATCTTTGATTGACAGGAAAGTGCTTGTGATACGACCAAGTGAAAAAACAGTGTACTGTATGATTCAATTATGAAAATATTATGAAATGAAAGCAGAGAACATTACCTGTGATCATTCTTAGGTTTTTGACAATTTGTACACATTATTTTGATAGCTAGTTATAGACTGATAAACAGGCATAGATGGTTAGTTTGGGAGATTTTGATATCTTTTCTCATTTCTGCAATGAATTTGTTTTATGTGGTTTTTCTGTTTCAGGTTGTATCAATTATGATAATTTTTATTTCAAAAAATCTCCAATTTCTTTGCCTTGTTATTGGTTACATAGTTATGTATAAAATTTAGTTTAATTGTACTTAAAATTCCTATGCTGCTATCCTTTTAAAATTATTCATGATAGTTGCTCAAGAGTTGTCTATTTTAATGGATTTTTCAAAGAACCAACGTTTTCATTTTTAACATTTTACATTTAAAAAAATTTCTCAGTTTCTCCAGATGTTTTTCTTTTCCCAAAATCTAAATTTGAATGCTTCCAAAAGTCTTTTTTCCCCTCATTTTAAATAATTAAGGTATTTAAAACAATTTTTCTCTAAGTACAGCTTTGACTTTATCTCACATTTTTTATAGTTAGTATTCACATTTTTGTTATTTTCTAAATAATCTATTACGTTATTCTAGATATTCCTCCTTGACAAAAAATTTAGAAAATTACTTTTAATTGTTATACTAACTATTGCTTTAGCATTTAAATTTATTTATTCTTAGTTTTATTGCATAATGATTAGAAAATAAAGCCTTTATCTAACAGAGGGGACACAAAAATATGGGTGGCAAGAAATAGCCTCAGTGGAGAGTTTAAACCTTGAATTTGACCAAATCTTTATCCCAAATGAGTATTTTAAATACTTTAATTGACAGATTAAATTATCTTCCCATAATCCTCTCTAACCAGTTGGACAGAGGTAAGCTAAGTTATTGGGGGGAAGAAAAGCTACATATTTTGCACATCTCATTTGAGACATGTGAATTTTTATCCCTGCTCTGTAAACAAATAAACAATGCATTTATTGTAAGTGTTCTGAAGTAGCAAATGCAGCCGTTAGGTAGGCAAACACGAGTTGTGGAGGAGGATCTACTTTGGAAAAAGGCAGCTGGGGAAGGCATCTCTAGGAAGTGACATTATAGCTGAGGTCTCAAGGATGAAAAGGCACCAGTCAAGTGAAACTGGGAAGAAAACGTTTACTAGTTCGAAGGCCTTGAGCCTGGAACGAATTTGGGCTGTTTTAGGAGTGGACAGAAGGTCAGTACGCTGGCAGCATTGTGAGCCAGGTTGAGAGTCACACAAGATGAGGCTGGAGAGGCAGATTGTACAGATACTTGGACTTTTCATTTAAATGCTTTGATGGCATGTGTATCAGTTAGTATAGGCTAGGTTATGCAGGGAAACAAATGGCACCCAAATCTCAAAACACAGGTTTATTTCTCATTCATGTCACTTTCTCAGTGAGTCTTGCCTGAAACCCAACTCTGTGTGTTATTCGAGGTGCCACGTTGACAGAGCAGTCCATCTGGGATGTTGCTGCTCATTATGGTAGAAGGAAAAAAAGAGCATGAGTCTTCAAGCTTCTGCCTGAAGTGACACATGCCATTTCTGCCCACAAATCATTGGTCAAATCAAATTACAACATCAAGTCCAATTTCAGTGGGGCAAGGAAGTCTACTCCTCCCCAGGGAAGGGGAGGTATAACTATCTCTTTAACAATCTGTCTCCTTCCATGGATGTTAACCAAGAGATACAGGATGTTGCTCCTACCTTCTTCTTTGTTCATAGATCCACTGTAGTTCCTATCAGAGATATGACTACTTAGAAAGATTTACACTCTGTCAGTATTTTGTATGTACATATTTTGAGAACTCAAATCTCTCATTTCTCTAAATTTTATGAAACAATTTTCTCTTATTCTCTTGAGTCTTTAATTTAGGGGCAAAATTTAAACCAACTTCAGTAGAAAGAATTTCCTATTTCTTACCCAATTGTAAGGATCACTTACTCTTTTGGTAAAAAGTCTCGAGATCAAGAAAAGGCTGTTTGCCTAAGTATCAAATAGCAGAATTCAGTGCTGATAACTCACCAAGTGCTTTTCCAAATGGCAAAGTATAGTATCTTGGCACTGTCTTCGTGTTTACATTTCTAAGAGAGTTCAGGAATGCGTTAGTATTTCCATCTTTCAAACCAAGAAATGGAGGTACTTTGTTTCTCAAAGCCCCACAACTGGGCCAGAGTCCTGGCAAGAACAACATAAATGGGTACCATTATTCCTTTTAGTCCTGAGAACCACCAGTAAAGTTGAACAATGTTTAATGGCAACTTTGATTGAAGTGAGGCAAAGGGACAGAAATATGGGAGAGAAACATAAGAGTGACAGGAAAAGAGATGAAAAATTGGATGTAGATAAAAAAGTGCATTTGGCAATGTTACAATCATGTCAAATTATCTTTACTGTCACTCTGAAGCATTTGTGGTGAGGTTGCCTAGTGCAGCATAAGATGGTCCTGCCTACATTTTTTTCTCATCAAATCTTTTTTATTACTGGAGAAATCTCCCTCTGGTACAACAATTTAAAAACCTTATTATCCTTTACCTATGAAGTCTCTGTCTTTGTTGGATAAAGGGATTCACTTTCTTTTTTGCCTTCTAGAACAATAAACCTGATAGCACCTCTTCTGTAGGAGACTGAGGGAATTAACTCTCATGGGATACAGATTTCCATTTTCAAAAGAACATTCAGTTTTTCCCATAGCGATTTTTGTTGATCCATTGCCAAACTCTTAACAATTGTGTAATTCAATCGTAATTCCATCAGCAATACACTGAGGAGGATCATGGCTGTGATGATCACATAGCCAGCATAGTGACTGGCTCATAAAAGGTGCTCAAAAAGAATTCCAGTAGTAGATGATGAGTTCCAAAGAATGGACCAATGTTCATGGAATCATTGGCTTCATCTCATCAACTTATATCTTGCACCTCAGAGGCTGTTGCTAGGGTAATTAGCTATATAGTATTCAGAGAAAAATTATGCATTGGGATTTGTGTCTGTACAAACTTCTGTATAGTTTAATTTCAAAAAACATGGTCAAAATAGTGACCAGTCTTAGCAAGGGAAGACTACCGGTAAGTTAAAGGTGACTTACAGGGGCAATCTTAAATACGCACATTTGCAACAAAATACGTAGTACTCAGGCCAGCCCTTGTGGTCTGTTGGTTAAGATCTGGTGCTGTCACCATCAAAGCCTGGGTTCATTTCCTGGCCAGGGAACCACCACTCATCTGTTGGTTGTCATACTGTGGTGGCTGCATGTTGCTGTGATGTTGAAACCTATGCCACCTGTATTTCAGATACAGGTGGGGTCACCCATGGTGGACAGGTTGCAGTGAGGTTCGGGACTAAGACAGACTAGGAAGAAGGACCTGCCAGTTCCAAAAAAACTGGCCACAAAAACCGTATGAATAGCAGTGGAGCATTGTCTGCTATAGCTCTGGAAGGGGAGAGAATGGCACAACAAGACCGGGCAGGGTTCTGCTCTGCTCTGCACAGGGCTGCTGGGAGTTGGAATCGACTCGATGGCACTAACAACAAATATAGTATTAAATGAACATTTTGAGTTATTAATTGCTCATGGCTAATGAATAAATTTCACAAAACACAGATAATTCCACCTTATCCTCTCAAACAAATTTTATTTGTATTCTGCTCTAACAAATATAGTATGAAGGCAACAGTTGTTTAAGTTTCTCAGTGTATGGCATAGATGAAAAGAAACAGATTTAGAAGCAGTCCAGCGTTTAAATGCTGGTTTAACAAAAGAGGCACATATTATTCTAGTTAGCAGTTTATACCAGATATCAGAAGACAACTTTTTTTCCTTGCAAGCCACAGACTACATTTATTTGCATTAGGTAAAAACATATCTTGATCAAGAAAATTACTTTTTTTTCTGGTTTTCCTTTATATCACAAATGTCAGGGTAAGGCAAATCCTTAATGAATCATGTGATAAAAACCCTATTCCCCAAGAAAATATATTGAACATATTCTGCTAACTTTGTTATTTTTCAAAGCAAAGCCAACATGCACCACATACAGAAAAATGTCATTTCAAATCAAGTGCATCAAGCAGAACTGTATTAATTCACAAAGAGGCTTTTCAGTGTTTCATAGAAAGATTTACAATTAGCTGCGGTGACTAATATGTGACCCAGTATCAGAGACAGTGTTTCGGATGCCTCCTTTGTAAGCTTTTATGAAAGAAGACTTGTCCATCATCTGAATAGTTACCAGCTAGAGGAAAAGCCCCTTTGTCTCTCCTACAATGAGTACCTTTTTAATTAGGACTCTTATGCTGAAAGCCTACTTCAGTCCTCTGTATGCAAACATGACTAATACAGGGCTATCTTCCTCCCCCTCACTCCTGTAACCCCTCACACCACAGCCTGGCTGAGTGCGGTTGGAAACTGACATCCAGAATCCATGTGTGGGAGCATCAATCAGCCTTTCAGATTTTCCATTGTACAGCCTGTACAATGACAGCGCCAGTGAAATAAAGGTTTCCTGTGTTGAGGTGTCTTCAATCTGGCCAATAGCTAGATTTTTAATATTTTACTATTGAAATGGAAATTTAACTTCGTTATTGGTTTTCACGCATCTAATCTTATAGCCAAATAGCAACCAAAAAGCTTAATGAGGCAAAAATGAAAATACAATCTAATCATAAAATGAAGTTTAAAGAAATTCAAGAGTGGGGCTGATGATACTCACTACTCATTCTCTTAGTTTCCTGGATACAAAGCTTACTTTCCTTTTTCTGCTGTTTTCAGGCAGAGAACTCCCTCCTTCCATTCCTACCCCACCCACGTTTAAAATGAATAAAGTAGCTGTCATTGATGATAAGGAGAACACCAGGACTGAAATCATCCCAATCCTGACTGCTCCTAGCAGGAATACTAGTGCCTTTCATCTTTGTCCATTAAAAATCCCCAACCCTCTTTTCTCTCTCATGTTGTTTTCAACAGGAACTCATCACTGAGCGTGAGAGCACTAACGTTTTGGAGTCACAGGGAAATGTGCTCCTAGCAGATTGCACTTGTCAAGTACTTCACAAGAATGATGGGGACTTTCAACTGTTATAAAGATGACATAAAATATGGAAACTATCAGTATCCATATGGCATCATTTCCTGAATTATTTAAAATGAACTTTTTCCTTGTTTTTCTAGAAAGCAATGTCTAATGGCAATAGAGGACATATATGGTTCCATATCAAACTCTAGAATAATGGCAGAAGGAGAAATGGCCATGTTCCAAAATCATGAGGTCACTTAGATAGCATTGCTGCTAGGATGATGAGCAGCTTTTAAAAAAATACAGCATGTTAAAACATACTACCTATGCAGAAATATAACTTGCTAATTATTCAAATATACCAAATAAGCCATGCAGAGGGGCAACAAATTCAGAAAAGCCAAAACGAAAGTCACAGGAAGATAAGAAGGTGAATTTTCCATAGAGGAGAGGCCAAACCTGAAGAATTTCATGGAATATTTAGAAAGCAGAGCATCCTTTTATTTTAGAAATACTCAATTAGATCCATTACTTTTCTCCCTGTACTAAGAAAAAAATATATCAATAACTTACAATTCTAAAGGCCTTATAGGGAAGACAGATTGAAGAAGATATGCAAGAAATGATATTAGTTTCCACAGAAAAAAACAGAACTGCCTGAGAACCCAGGGAGGCTGGGGAAGCAGGCGTCTTGCCTCGTGAGGGTCGCTGTTCATGTTGGCTCTCGGGTAGATGTATGCGACAACTTCTGACTTCCTCCTGGGGCCTTTGTCCCTGTACCCACTGTGCCATTGGCATCTTGGCTCATTAGTACTGCTGCTCCCCTTCAAAGCCATAATCAACGGTTGGCTGGGAGAGGGAACCAGCCATCAAATTAGTCTTGGACTTGGCATGAGCAAACCACACCATTTAAAAGCAGACCAGGGAGCCGAGACTGCAAGCACATCTCTGATTGCCTCTAACTTCCAGTGAGAATCTGCTCTGTGGGCCAGCAAACCTTGGGTAAAGACAAGATGTTCTTTTATGAAAAGTTTATACATAAAGAGAGATTTCAAGTGGAACTTTTAATATTCATAGGCATATGTTTGGATCCGAAATGCAGCAGACCCCTCTCTTAATTAAAACACCTAGAAAAGTGCCATCCCTTACAACTGGTGGCACAGAGTCACATCTTACCCGTGGGCTCCATGCTGAAGCACACGGCAAAGACCTCATGAACCAAGTACGCTCTGCTGAAAGTCTCTGTCAGAGAAGGCACCTGCTGTCTTGGCGATGGAGGAAGAGACCCGACATCTGTCAGGCCCTTGTTCCTAGTTACGCTTCTGCGCTCTGCTCTGGATTAAATCCTGCTTCCATATTCCTTATTAACCACAGGGAACGAAACTGTATCTTGGGAATCCCTGAATAAAATATTATTTTCAATTCACCATCCTGACCTTTTTCCAAGTGATTTTTGAGGTTTTTGCCCATTTTCTATCCTGCCTCCTTTGTTTGTGGATTAGACTGATATTGGGCCTGGTGATTCCTGAAATCTAGCCTGCAGCTTCTCAAACAATCATCTTCCTTCTCTTTCTTTGAAGAAACCACTGTATGACCAGCTTTGTGAAATAACCCAGAAAGCAGACAGGAGCCAGGGGACACACGTGAGGGATCAGCCGTGCCACTGTGACCCTGGGGCAAAGGTCTGAGAGAAAAGACAGAAATTACAGGAATAGTGCCTGAAAAGATGTGTTAACGTGGGTCCCCCCACCAAATTAAAGGAAACTTCTTTTTTTTTTCTTTTTCTTTTTCTGCAGGTAAACAGAACAAAATGCAGCTGGAAAAATTACAGCAAAGGATTCCCTGTCCTTCCGTGAGATCGCCTCCCCCCACCCCCACCCGCCTCCACAGCAGGTGCTGCTGTCTTCCCACACTCCCCAGGGCCAGGAGAGGCCAGCAGTGCTGAGCACTGTCATCGACTTCCATGTCTTCGTTCCTTTGCTTCATCTTGTGCCCCTGCCAAAGACAAGGAGAAACCATTTGTTAGATTAAAGATAAGGCGCCTTCGTAGGTTTAGCAAGGAATAGCTTTTTAATGCAGACATTTAAATGTTTCTCACCTCTCAAACAGGCTAGGAATATTTTATTTGACTATCAAAGAGTTTTGGATACCTGAGCTGTAATTGCTGGCACAGAGTATCTTTGAAAAGCATATAAATCACTGTCAATAAACGTATGCCACAATGACAACTTGCTTTGGCTGATGGGGCCGATTAACTCAACTCTTCAAAGTATTCTTTGAAAAATCTAACCTTGAATTGATATGTCCTCCCTTTTGGGACCCATTCATACACTCTAGTTTCCAGAGCTCAACATAGAAATAATAACAGTAGGGGCTGGCCCCATGGCCGAGTGGTTAAGTTTGCGCGCTCCGCTGCAGGCGTCCCAGTGTTTCGTTGGTTCGAATCCTGGGCGCGGACATGGCACTGCTCATCAGACCACGCTGAGGCGGCGTCCCACATGCCACAACTAGAAGAACCCACAACGAGAAATATACAACTATGTACTGGGGGGCTTTGGGGAGAAAAAGGAAAAAATAAAATCTTTAAAAAAAAAAAAAAGAAATAATAACAGTAACAATAACAATATACATAATGCTGATTTGCAAAAGTCTTTGATGGTCTTTTGGCTCATCAAGATTGACTCATCTTCAGGAACTTTTTTCTTCTGTAGGAATTCCAAGTGATAGTTTCACATTTCGATTTGCCACCCGCAGCAGGGATAATATTGGTCTACAATCAACTATAAATTAATGTCAATTTGTATATTACGGTATGACTTTGAATGGCATAAATTTGTGTTTAAAACTCATGGTGCATTTGTACTTTCTACTTATCATGGGAACCTTTTTCTTTCCCTAAGCAGCACCCTGGGCAGAGACGAGTATCCTTGTTAATTTCTTGAGCTGGGAGTCGCAGATTTTTTCTGTAGAGGTGTCAGTTCCGATTCCTTACCTTGGGTGGCTCAAGGTCCCAGGTGGCCATTAGAACCCAAGTCCCTAACCAAAGGGCCTATCTCTGCATCAACAACCCATCTGCAGCCATCTTCAGCTCACTAGGTGATTGCTTTGGCTCTCAAATTCCTCTTCACTTCTGGCCCTTCTGCTTTCGTGTCAGTTGAGCTATGTATTTTAAAATACTTTTGTTATAGTTTGTCTCTCATTTCTAAGCATTTATATTGGGAGGGGTTCTGCATTACCCCACTGTTTCAGTTATCTGTTGCTTTATAACAAACAACCCCAAAACTTAGTGGCTAAAAACATCAATGATTTATTATTTCTCACAATTCTATAATCTGGCCTGGCCTCAGCTGGCCAGTTCATCTGCTCCAGGTGGTATGCACTAGGGCTAGAACATCAAAATGGCCTCTCGCTTTCCAGGATTTCTCCATATGGCCTTCCTCATTTTATAGTAGAGCCTGAGCTTTTTACAAGGTGGCTGGATTCCAAGAAAAAGCATTCCGGGAGTGCAAAAATGGAAGTTACAAGGGCTCTTAAAGCCCAACCTGGAAGCCACACTCAGCCTGCCATGTTTCTCTAGAACTAAAGGTTCAGATTCCATAAACATCTATACATGCCTTCAAATACTTGTTGAAAAGTTATTTTTACATTTGCAGAACATTCTGTTGATTCATTGAACCATTCTCCTATTGTCATTTATGATATTCCTGATTTTCTTTTTTGGTTGAGGAAGATTAACCCTGAGCTAACATCTGCGTCAATCTTCCTCTATTTTGTATGTGGGTCACCACCACAGCATGGCTACTGGTGAGTGGTGGAGGTACACACTGGGGAACCGAACCCTGGACTACTGAAGTGGAGTGTGCTGAAATTAACCACTAGGCCATGGGGCTGGCCCCAGATATTCCTAATTTTTTACGATTATAAATTAAATGACACAACACTAAACATCCTTATATTATGTCTTTGAACTCTATAATTCTAATTCTAATTCCATTTCACTGTATTTCTTTAATTTCCTTGAAGGCATGAGGCACAGATGAAAGGTTCCTTCTTCCTGTTGAACTACCTGATAACCTCTACAAACCCAGCTGTGTAAATCTTTCTGTGGGAATCCGCAAAGCTCCTCAGGTCATACTGTTCTCTGTGACCACTGTGTTCAGAAACTCACTATTGTCTGGGAAGCAGTGTAGTGTCATCAAAGAATTTTGTGCTGAGAGGTTTCCATTACCAGCCAGGTGACGCTGTGCAAGTCACTGCCCCTTCCTAGAAGTGAGTTTCCTTAAATTAAGTTTGAGCTTTAAGTTTGGACGACTTATTCATTCAGGTAAAGGTATAGATTCATCTTTATGGTCAAGGAAAGTATTTTCACATTAGCCAAGGAAAACAGATTTATCCTGGTACTTTATCTGGATACTGATCACACAGGAAAATAATAGTGTCTGTAAGAAAAAAATATACACAAGAAGGCTATAGTTGGTTGGCCACAAAAGGGCAAAGAGTAAGACAACACTGAGGAACATGAATTTAAATTGTTCAGGTTTAGTCTCATTTCATTACTTTTTAATGGAATCTTCTCTACCAGATCATTCCTGCAGCTTAGTAGAATATTTAAAATACACGAACAAGGTTAAAAAAAAGAAAGAAGAAATGTTTATAAGACCATGTTTGCATGAGTTTATATTTTTTAACAGTCCTATGCCATACAGGTATTATACAAATGCTATATATTTAGTTTTAAGTGATGTTCAAGACCATGATGGGAAGGGCAGATGCTTGCTACTTTCCCACATTCTCAACTATTCGGCCACGATGTAGAAGCTCAAGGGGCTGGTGCCACATGGCTCCTGGGAGAGTGCAGAGACCTACCAAGAAAATGCAGGGGGTGCAGGGAGGAGCTGGGGGCAACGGGGTCAATATGTCTGTGTCTTATACTGGATGTCCCACAGTTCATTTATTCTATGGGGTTTTTTTTTTTCATAGCTAAGTATTTTAAGCTAGGAATTGGAATAGCGAGCCTGACTTCTTTCCTCTAATTCTTCTCACCAGCCCTCAAGATATGGAAAAGGGTTACAGATTACTCATCATTCTAGACATACTTCAGTCTTTGCTGAGAGAGTTAGAGCATTGGCCTGGAAAAACTCCTAAATATGGTTTGCTCCAGGCTTTTATTTTCCTGTTGAGCTCCCTGAGGCTTGTTCAACCCAGCAAACCTTTGTGCAGACACACAGGTCCACAGGTAGTGGTGTGAGAGGATAAGACACAAGGCAGGCTTGTTTCTGCCTTATCACACTCAAGAGCCTTTCTACATTCTCCAGGGCAAAGATTTAGTGTTATGCTTAAAAACAGATATACTAAACAACTCAGCAGGTAACTTCTGGAAAAGCAATGCTTCAGAATCAGCTGGGGGTTGCTGAAATAATTTGATCACTCCAGGAGGCCAGGGGGTGAGACGGAAGGAAACATTTTTTTCTTGTTGTCAAAGCTCAGAAAACCAGGGAACTGCATGATTTAGATATGTTGTGGCTTATCTTTTTCCCTTAAAGATGGCAAGCTTCTAGGGGTAATCCTTGCTCTTTACACTGTGTTATTTGGTATAAAGATTTTTAAAGTTTAGCCTTAGCCATGCTGAGGGACTTGGTAGAACTGAGAGAAATTAAAAGCCATTTACAAACAGTTTCTATGGCCGGTTTAATCAATTGAAAATCCCACCACAGGGGCAACTTACCCACTACTTAATCTTCTTGCTGACTCTCTGTTGGGTCATTTACACTGTCAACTCGACTATTCATTTCAACTGTAACCAGAAAGGAAAACAAAAAAGGTTAAATATTTATTAAACCCAAATTTCTCAAACACATTAAAATAGCCTATGAGTTAATACTTTTCTGATTTCCTAACTCTTTTCAGTTCATTTTCCTTCATTTAAGATTTGGGGACCATTCTTGTAGATTTTTCTGGTGGGGCGCAGGGAGGGTGGAACTACCTCTTTACTGAACTGTGGAAGCTGAGGTATTATTTCATACCAGATTTTTGGGTTGACATTTTGGGTGTACTTACTACTATCCTTAGGTAAATTTAAAGTCTTATTGGATCCCTAAGAAAATAAAGAGAAAACAAAGGAAAACAGACGGGGAGGTAAGCGGTTCCCTCTAAAATGGCAATGTCAATAGGCCTGTTTGGTTTGCCATGGTTTCAATTCTAAAATTCCAAACAGACCCTGTAAACTTGCCAATGGAGGCAGTGGCAGTGGACACCACGAAATAGAAAAACAAAACAACTAACGAGATCAAACAGTGAGGATAAAGAATGTGCTTTTACTTTACTGTGTGTGTTGTTCTATGTGAGTATTTGCATAAAAATACAAATGCATAATTACTGCCATTGTCCAGAAGTAGCCCGGAGCAGGCATAGCAGTTACTCCGGAAATTTTCAAGGGTCAGTAGGTTTAATTAGATTGATATTTTTAAAGCATCAAAGCTCATGTTATAAAATGAGAGACTTAATATATAAAAGGACAACGGCCAGACCATTTATAACAAGAGAGCTCTAACTCAAAACCTCTGAAGCAACCAGCCTGAGCAACAAAACCACAGCCTGTACAGCAATCAGCCCAGAATGGTCAAGACTTGATCAGTGGCCACCAGCTTCCCTATATGTTGCCCCATACTTCTAACATAGGACCAAGCAGGGAAAGCCAAATATGTTCGTAAGCCAATCACCTAAGATGTCCCACTTAGATCTCCCAGTCACCAAAGTTAGCCCATGTCCAGCTTCCCCATGCCAACAACCCTTCAATCAGAGGATGCTTGAAGACTTCTCTTTTGTTAACTATAAAGATTTCCCACTTCCCTCTCTGCCTTTAAGTTGGCCAAAGACAAGTGATAATGGTTGACACCCTTGCGATAGTAAACTCTCTTAAGAATAAGTAACCTCTATTCTCATTTGGGTAGTCTTCATTTATTTGCACAAAATCAACAACCCAAACCCCTTTTTCTTGAACATGAAAGCTCGATTAAAGTAAAATGGTTGGAGATGCTGGTTTTCACACTCCAAAGAGGCTTAAAAGAGGGAATTACATTGCATGGCATCCCACCCAACTCTCTCTCAAGGAGGAAGGTTTTAAAAGCAAGTCTCTTTGTTCCATCTGCAAACTGTCCTGAGTTTCTAATGATGCGTGAGCTCATTTTAAACCCCAGGTGTAAACTGGCCAGCTGCAGCAACTTTACCTATATAAAGAGGATAATGCATGCGCTTTCCATTATTCTACATCCGCCCATCTCAGTGTGGGAGTGTGCAGAATAAAGTATAGCAGAGCATTCGTTTTCTGTTTCTTCCTCCCACCCAAGGGTCACTAGTTCCAAAGCCTACTAACAAGTGTTAATATAAAAAGCATTCTATGATCAAATGAGTTTGGGGAAAGCAATGTTAAACCATGTTAATAAGTTTCTTTACAGCAAAGACATCTGAGAGCCTGAAATGTGAATGGTAAACATCCAAGTGAGGACTAAAACTTAGTATTTCTCACATCTATTTCCTGTTTATTCAATGAGCATTGTGTGGGCCTGATATTCCTCACAACATGCTTTGTAAAGAACTAGTTAAGAACCATGTCTATAGTGTCACAAATAGGCTGGGTCTGGTCTTCTTCAACTGACCTTGACTAATGTGGTGGCTTTTAATCAACGGATCTGGGACTTAAAAACATTATTCTCCTAGATAATGCATACCCATGAGCAAAAACAGTCAGTTTGTGCAGAAAGGCTCATAATTAAGGGAGGTAATTCAGATGATGGCAAACCTATAGCATGGGGGGATACCTGGTATATGAAACTGTTTAAAACCACCAAGGAACTTCTACCAGTGGCTGAATTTTTCCCAAGATCATTATCAACTCCAAGTAATTTTCTTTTTTTTTTTCCTTCTTTTTTTTGGCTAAAATAACCCAATTAGCAAATATATATACGTAGTTGATCACTGACCAATTCTGGTTTTCCTAAACTCTATGAGCCAGGGGAATTAAATATTTATTAAATCATGTGTGCTTAAATAGGTGTTTTTCTAATGCAGGTAATGATATTTCAAGGGGTTCCTAGCATTGTTGTGCAGGGGCAAAGAGGCTCAGAATCTTTAGTTGCCTTCAAAATGAGATGTGAACAGAGAAAGGTTTTTGTCAATTTTGTTTCTAAGGTGCTTTTACAGACTCACTATGTTTTGGGCAAAGCCATCTGATATGGCTTTGAGGGGCGGTGAAGTGATGAAGGTCCAAGAACCACTCAAGCCACGGTTCCCCTGAATGCTGAGAGGGGCAGGGCTCACAGTTAGGGAAGTCCTTTTGGCAGAAGTAAGAGGTATTTCCGTAAAGTTCACCAACTACACTTCTGTCCAGTTTAGCCTTGGAATTATGTGCTGTGGCCTCAGTATTGCAAGGCATGTTTAAACTGTGGCACGTGCTGTTTTAAAATAGCTAGCGTCAGTTTTTAAAAAAGGCTGCCAGTTTTATTAGTTCTTAGCAGTAAATGGTTTTTTAACTTTACCTTGTTCTAATTGAATATGTTGATTCATAGAATAGATAGCTCCCTTAATCCTAGATTACACATACAGAATGTGCCAGATGTGTAGTTTGCACAAGCTTAAATAGCTCAGAACGTTACCGTCAGGATTTGTAGAGTTTTCTGCATCACAGGAGCCTTCACATTTCGCAGGAACTCTAGGTGTGTCCTCGCCTTGAGCTGGAAGAGTGAAAGAAGATAGTCTTTGATTAATAGAGAGTTAGAACAGCCTGACTGCCAATTGTTCTGTCACCTTCCACTGCCCTCTTAAATTTAAAAATACTCTTGGGATTCAACTTCTTTTGCAGAAAAGGTTAAAAGAGGAAATAGTGGGTTGAGTTGCTTGAATACTTTAGTGCTGTCATCTTCTAAATCCTCTTTAATTTATGAGATAATCACATACAGACATCCACAATTTCTCAAATTAGAAATCTGGTAGCATGAAAGCAGGAAAACTTGGTTTAATCAGAACAACCTACAATTTAAATTTAGGGAAATTTGTGTGTGTATGAGTTTGTGTAGCTTAACTTTCGAAGAGCGAAAAAAAGAAAACATTTTGGTTAGGCATGCCTGAAAGCTGAAAGACTCATTCTTCTGGCAGTGAGGGTTTTTTGTTTGTTTAAACACAAATGAATGGCTTAGTTGCTTTCCTAGGAGACCTTCTCAGATGCCGCCATTTTGGATTGCTGAGAATCCAGTCTGTAATTAATTTCCATTGTGATTGTTCTCCATTTGCACTGCTTCAGAAGGCATGTCATCCATTGCTGTGACTGAGCTGTATAACACGTTTAAATGTAGCAGTAAGGGGGCCATTCTTCTTTTTTCTTAATGATTCAATATTTGTATATATTGAAAAATGATCATCACAATGTCTAGTTAACATCTGTTTTTTTTATTGTGATAAATTTTCCAGAGAGTCAAAAGAACAATAATCTCTTACGTCTTAGTTAAATATCTATTATGTTTTCACAACTTGAAGAACCAGGCATTTGAAAATATGAATATAGATAAAGTACTGGAAAATCCATAATTTCAAAATTTTTATTTTTTTCACATTTTTTAAACAGAAGATTAAATTCATTTCATTATAAGTACTTATTGAGCCCAGAGTATGTTAAATTTGATGTGCCTGTTGGTGAGGATGAAGCAAGAATGGGAAAGGTCCAGTTTATAATCTCTTCAAAGGAAGATACCTTCAAAGATAGAACTTGCACTCTTGGTAATGATTGACTAAAGCTGAGAATCAAGAAGTATGACTCAAAGGTGACTACTCTCTGAGCCTGGGTGGATGAACGGTAGGGAGGTCAGTTCTTGGCGAAATATTAAACAAGTAGAATGGGGGAAGGTGAAGAAAGCCATTTTAGTTTGGAAGTCTCAAGTGCAGGGTCATCGAAGTGGAGATGCCAAACAAACTTTTGCACCTATTGCTGAGGGAGAGAACTGTGAATTAGACATGTAGGTATTTGGGAGATGTCAATATAGAAGTAACATTGATGGTATGAGAGTAGATGAGAGAAGTCAGGAAAAGGATAACACAAGAAGAAAAAATGACTCATGGGTTCCCAAGCCCTTCAAGGAAACAGTAACTGTGTCCATGAGTTCTTTTCGTCAGTTTCTGAGGATGAGGTTGGGAAAGGGAAAACAAAACTTGAAACTTCCAACCGGACATAACACCATATCATATCCTTTTTCACTCTGCCAATTCTAGAAAGTGGACCATTCTTCAATAGTTTGTCAACACATTCCTTAGAGACATAATTAAAGAAGAAAACATTGATGTAATTTCCTAAGGCTGGGAGCAGGAAATCTTTGCTAATTATCCCTGAAAACACAGAAGAAATAAGGGAAAAATGGACATATTTGATTTTATAAACATAATAAACTTTTGGATGGAAAATATATAAGAAATGTTTAAAAAAAGAAAGATTACAAATTGAGGAAAAACGTTTACACCTTTTACCATAGACAAAAGGTTAATAATATCTTTAAGATATAAAGTACTTCTAAAAATAGGGATGAGGAAGGTCAACAACCTGATAGAAAATTAAGCAAGAAATTTGACAGATAGTTCATTAAAAAAGAAAGAAAAATGGCTTGTAGTCATGAGAAAAGATGATTCACTTTGCTAATAATGAAAGAAATGCAAATTAAAGTCACACTGAGAAAGGGATTTCTGCCTAAGGTGGACTATCATGTTGTAGACTAACCGTCCTACCAAGAACAGCTAGAAACACTGAACAAATTATTTAAGAAATTATTTTAAAGCAGCAGAGAGCCATCAATGCAGCAGAAACTTGAGGAGGCACAAAATGGTGAGTCTGACATTCCACACATGCCAAGAAATTGAACAGAACCTCCAAATGTTTTATGAGGTTTGGAGGGGGCAGGGGCAGGAAGGAGGGGCAAAACTTGGATGTCAGGGACCACACAAGAAGAGATACCCTAATAAGTACCTTGAGTTTTCTGTGGGGCTCCCTGCAGTGTTATACTCTGAGGGTAAGGATGAACTTAAAACAGACCAGCTCTTAGAAAAAGTGAAGCCCATCAGCTTGGTTTCTTCAGATTGCTGAGCTGGGCAGTTTTGTGAGCCTTCACCTGCATCCTTCAGCTAGCACCTCTTCTGCAGGCCTCAGCTTTGAAGAACAGAGTCCTTCAAATAGTCCTTGGAATATTATGCTTATACACTTTTCCTATTCTACCTTCACCTAAGCCAGGATATGCAGAGATCTCACTTGATAAGTTTTCTCCACAAGCTCTTCCACTACTTGTGTCTTCCATTTCAGGCCTGGATGCAGCTACTGCTGCTTGGGGCAGAGATAAAGAAAATGTTTTGTGTAGGTTGCTTAATGAATGATGAGGACCGGAATAAAGGTCTCTGACCAACTTTGAAAACAAAAAACAAAAAAATAAAACTGAAGTTCAATTTTTAATCAAACCAATTCTTGATTAGATTACAGTGTTCTATTCTATATACCTGCCTGTCTGAAGCAAAAATAAATCCTGTCTGAAGAAGATAAAACCACCCAGATCCTCAAGTTATCTCTACAATTTTTCAATCACAGTGTCCAGCATTCAATCAAAAATTACCTGGCATTTCAGAAGAACAAGAACAAGTCACTCAAAAGCAAGATAATAGGCCAAAATAAATAGACACATCAGAGATCCAGATACAGTCGTGCATCACTTAACAATGGAGATCTGTTCTGAGAAATGCATTATTAAGCTATTTTGTCATTGTAGGAACATCATAGAATGTACTGAAGTGGAACAAAATTTGCCACCCCAAAATGCATCTCTTTAACCTGAAGATTATTTTAGGATGATTATTTTTAAGAAACAAAAGACTCAGAAAGTTTTTCTTGTCACTTGGCCTTTCACTGCCTAAAAGAATTCAGATTTGAAAAACTTGTCTCAGGAAGTGAGCTATCACCTTAGCATAACATGAACTAGGTGGTAGACTGGGAGGAATCCAGAAAATCCTATTTGTTGGGCTCTGCTCTATGTTCTTCTGTTTCTGTGTGGCCAAATATTTGTTTTCCAGACTTTTTCTCCTTTTCATCTGCTTGTGAATTGCCTTCTTCCTTTTGGAAGTCCCTGACTCTCCCCACCCCCAACATCTTCTTTTGTCTTTAGCTGAGAATGGTTAATCTGTCTCATGTCAATTTAATTCTTAGACCAGGCAGAAGAACCTAGAAGGGAAGAGAAAAATTTGATCCTCCTCTACAGTATTTACACAAATCTAAGGTACAGCCTACTATATCCCTAGGCTATATGGTCCTAATATCATGGGACCACCATCATATATGTGGTCCATTGTTGACCAAAATGTCATTATAGGGTGCATGACTGTATTGTAGACACAACTTTAAAATACAGTTTATCAAATAACTGGACACTATTAAAAAAGCCAGATGTAAATTCTAGAACTGAAAAATACACAATAATTAAAGAATTCAATTAGGTGGATTTGGCATCAATTAGACAAAGCCAAAAAAGGGATTAGCAAACTGAAACCTAAGTCATTAGAAAATATAAAGAATAAAGTACAGATGGAAAACACAGAAAAGAGCACAAATATCAGACAGGGTCTATCCTATGTGTTACGGGACAAAAGCAATATTTTAAGAGATAATGGCTGATAATTTCCCACAATTAATGGAAGATAGCAAACCATTGTTTCAAGAGTGTTATGATCTCCAAGCAAACTTCACTCAGGGCAATTATTGTAAAATTGCTGAAAACCAAGGTTAGAAAAATATAAGATTATTGAGTGAACTAAGACCCATTAACTTCAAAATAGCAACAATAGGACTTATAGAGATGTCTTCTCAACAAGAATAATGGAAGCCAGAGACAATGCAATGGCATCTTCAACATACCAAAGATAATATCTCCAACATAAAATTCCCTACCTAACAAAACTTCTTTCAAATTTGAAATTAAACCATTTTCAGAGAAAAAAATGGAATTTGTTGTCACTGAAAGAACAGTTTTCACCATACTCAAAAATAAATTCCAGATAGATTATAAAACTAAATGGGGAAGACAACGTGGAAAAATACCTTCACATCATTGGGCAAAAATTTCTTACACAGGAAAAACAAAACACTAACTATTCTGGAAAAGACTGGTAATCTGGAAAACATTAAAATTAGCATCATTAGTTTATCAAAGCACACCATTAAGAGAGGGCAAAATAAGCCAGAGTGGAAGAAAGTATTTGTAATATATATAACTTACAAATGACTCCTGTACTGAATATGTAAAGAAATCAATATACAAAATAACATAGAAAAGACAAGGAATCCAAGAGAAAATGGGCAAGACACAAACAAACATGTCACAAAAGAGGATATCCTGTTAGTCACTTAATTTTTTTAATGACTTTTGCCAAATCTCATATTATTTAAAAGCTTTGGCTTTTTCACTATCAAAATGAAAATAAAATGTTCTAAGTCCTTGTCTAACTCTCCAGGACACCATCCGAACTCACTAAGACATAACATTATTATTATTTTTTATAAAAAATGATGATTGTGGAAAGGAAATTAGTGTAACACTATTTAAACATTACTTCCTTGACTTCTCCTCAGGGTTGGTGTTTGCAATGGGATCTGGTGGTACCTGTGGCTGATTCTACCATGAAATCTCTTTCAAAGTCATTGCTATCAACCGTAATA